CCAACCAACCAACCAACAGATAACAGTTTTATAAACTATGGTTCCAAAACTAAATAATATTTAGTTTTGGGGGCGCCTGGGTGGCTTAGTTGGTTAAGCGTCCGACTTTTGCTTGGGTCATGATCTCGCGGTTCGTGGGTTCAGGCCCCACGTCGGGCTCTGTGCTGACTGCCAGCTCAGAGCCTGGAGCCTGTTTCAGTCTGTGACTCCCTCTCTCTCTGACCCTCCCCTGCTCACGCTGTCTCTCTCTCTCTCCTAGGAAAAAAAAAAAAAGAATATTTAGTTTTGGAGAATATTTCTTTTTTTTTTAAATTTTTAATGTTTTTAAATTTATTTCTGAGAGAGAGAGAGACAATGTGAGCAGGGGAGGGTCAGAGAGAGAGGGAGACACAGAATCCGAAACAGGCGCCAGATTCTGAACTACTGGTCAGCACAGGGCCCAATGCGGGGCTCGAACCCATGAACTGTGAGATCATGACCTGAGCCAAAGTCAGACGCTTAACCAACTGAGCCACCCAGGCACCCCAAGAATATTTTTTTAAAGCAAAGAGATCGCCATAAAACAGGCATGTTAAAAAAAGCTGGCAGATGCACAAATACCCCCCACTCTGGAAGAACAACTCGTTATCAGTCGTGTTGCTATTATCTGCCGGACCCTTCTCTGTTCTCCTTGTTTTACCACATTTTTGATACATGGTCTTTTCTTATGACAATAATTTCACAGGATCCTTTTCTCTAGAGACAATACAAAGATAATGAGATCTTCTCCTTAGCATGGTGGCTTGAAATTTGTTTTGTTATTATTGATGTTACAGAACAGTTCTTTGAGATTCACAACTTACTGAGATGCCAGGCCCGTGGCTTCCCCCGCTGGGCTCGGGTGCTCCCCTCCCGGGGCGCGTGCAAGGGAACTGGGGCCCCTTGACCTCCATGTTGTTCCTCTCTCTTCTTGCACCATCCAACTCCCTCCAGCCCTGGCTCCATCTCCCTCCTGGCTGGTCTGGGGGATAGGGCATGGGTGGACTGGCCATGACGACCTTGACAGAGGGGCCCGTTGGCCGGAATTTAGTCACATGACCCCTTCCCTTGTAAGGGAAGCCGGGAAATGTCATCATTAGCTGAATGGCCATGTATCCAGCTAAAACAAAGGAATTTCTGCTGCTAAAATGAAGAAAGACAGGGTGGATTGGGGGGAACAGTTAGTCTCCTCTGCCACAGGGCTTGCTCGGATATTGTACCCCTCTCTTCTGGCCACTCACAGTGACCTGCACTCGGTCACTTGGCCACGTCTGGCCAACAAGCGTGTTGTTTTGGTTTTGAGGGGTCTTTTTACTTTATTGAGAAATAATTGACAATCGTCGTACATGTTTAAAGTGTACAGTGTGGTAGGCTGATCTACATACATGCTGTGGAATGAAAACCAGGATCGAGGTTATTACACACGCATCACTCACAGTCAACTCTCTCATGTATGTGTAAGGACAACGCCTAAGGTCTACTCTCAGAAACTTTTTTTTTTTTAATTTTTAAAAATGTTTATTTATTTATTTTGAGAGAAAGAGAGAGAACGAGCAGGGGAGGGGCAGAGAGAGAGGGAGAGAGAGAGAGAATCCCAAGCAGGCTCCACACTGTCAGTGCAGAGCCCAACGCAGGGCTCGAACTCAAGAACCATGAGATCATGACCTGAGGCGAAATCAAGAGTTGGGTGCTTCACCGACGGAGCCCCCAGGTGCGCCTCTGGGCAACTTTCAACCACACGATACCACATTATTAGCTCTAGGCACCAGGATGTAAATAAAACCTCAGAACTTACTCTTCTTATAACTGAAAGTTTGTACCTTTTGACCTCCACCTCCTTATTCCCCTTCCCCACTCCTGGTGACCACCATTCCACTCTCTGCTTTCATGAAATGGGCATTTATTTATTTTTTTTTAAGATTGCACATATAAGTGACACCGTACAGTATTTGTCATTCTCCATCTGGCTTCCTGCACTTAGCATCGCGCCCTCCAGATTATCTGCCTTGTTGCACGTGGCAGGATTTCCTCAGTTTTCATGACTGAATAAGATCCCCTTATATATATACCTACACCACCCCGTCCACTGAAGGTAGGTTGTTCCCATATCTCAGCTACTGTGAATGATGCTACCTTGTCTCTCAGAGATTTCATTTCCTTCGTGTGTGTACCCAGGAGTAGGGTTGGAGGACCCCATGGTAGTGCTACTCTTAATACCCTGAGGAACTTCCGGACTGTTTCCCTGGCGGCTGCACCAATTTACATTCCCACTAACAGCACACGAGGCTTCCTGTTTCTCCACCTCCTCGCCAACACATGTTCTCTCTTGCCTTTCTTAGCATAGCCGCCCTAACAAGTGTGAGGCGTTATCCCAGTCTGGTTTAGACTAGCATTTCCCTGATGATGCTGGGCGCCTTTTCATATACTACTGGCCATCTGTATGTCTTTGGAAAAGTGTGTACTCAGGTCCTTTGCCTATTTTTCTTTCTTTTTTTATTTAATGTTTTATTTATTTTCGAGAGACAGACAGAGAGTGAGCAGGGGAGGGCAGAGAAAAGGAGAGACACAGAATCTGAAACAGGCTCCAGACTCTGAGCTAGTGGTCAGCACAGAGCCCAACGCGGGGCTCGAACTCATGAACAGTGAGATCATGACCTGAGCCAAAATCAACCACTTAACCAGCTGAGCCACCCAGGTGCCCCACCTTCGCCTATTTTTCAGTTGGAGAATTTGCTCATTGGTTTCTAGGAGTTCTTTATGTAGTTTGGTGGTTAACCCTTTTCCAGATTTATTGTTTGCAAATATTTCCTCCCAATCTGTAAATTGCCTTTTAAAACTATTGAGTGTTTGCTGTGAAGAGGAAGCACTGGGAGGGCGAGCGAGGTTTGCGCTCAGGAATTTCAAGTGAAACCTCTTTGTCAGGTTGTGAGTCTCCTCCTACGGCATTCTCTGCCCAGGTACAAGCAGAGGGAGGACGGGATTAGCGTGACTGAGTCTGCGAAGGGCGCGGGCGGGGGTTGATAAGGTGGGGACACGGGATCCAGGCTGGACAAGTCAGACAGTGAACCCTGGGAGCCTCCCCATGGATGCCAAAAAAGCAGTAGGGTTGGGGACTGGCATGTAGGGGTCAAAGTCTCAGTGAGGTCAGAGAACTGTTGCCTTTGGGAACATTAGAATATTAGCAGAAATGGGGGCGCCTGGGTGGCTCAGTCGGTTAAGTGTCCGACTTCGGCTCAGGTCGTGATCTCACAGTTCGTGATCTCACAGTTTGTGGGTTCGAGCCCCGCGACAGGCTCTGTGCTGACAGCTCAGAGCCTGGAGCCTGTTTCGGATTCTGTGTCTCCCTCTCTCTCTCTGCCCTCCCCCCTTGCTGGCACTCTGTCTCTGTCTCTGTCTGTCTCTCAAAAATACATACACGTTAAAAAAAGAATATTAGCAGAAATGTTAGGATATGGTGATCAGGAAGTGGGACATTTGAAATAAAACGTTTAAAGTATGGGTACTGTTGGGGCACCTGGGTAGCTCAGTCGGTTAAGTGTTCGACTCCTGAAATGAGCTCAGGTCATGATCTCAAGGTTGTGGGATCCAGCCCTGCGTCGGGGCGTTTACGACCCTGACCAAAATGGGGGGAATCCAGTCGAAGACTAGAAAAGCATTTTCTATGCTGACAGGAAAAGGGAGCTGAGATGAAGTTGTAGAGAGATTTGGATCTGAATGGCCCAGAAGGACAGATAGAAGGTGTGGTGTGCTCTGAAACGTTTAACGACTGCTCTCCAGGAAAACAAGTGTGTGTGTGTGGGTGGGTGGGTGTGTGTGTATGTGTGTGTACAGATTTTACTGGGCGAAAGGATGGGTTTGTTGCACCGAAGTCACAAATAATAACAACACTTGGTTGTAAAGATCCTTTATTACAAATTCCACGTAGCCAACTCCTTCCCACAGACGGATGCCACAGATTGTTTGCCAAATTCTCGTCTCCAAAGCCAACTACTGCTGCAATTTAGCCCCGAACTGACAACATCGCCCTAATAAGCGCCCGGGGACAAAGGGGACCCCACGTCCCCGAAGAACGAGTGTAGTTTCGGCATGAAATGCTGGTTGAAATTTTTGTCTACGTTCGTAAGACGACAGTGAAAACGCGGGTCAGAGCGCCTTCATCAGCGGCACCAGCCCCGGTCTGCCGCGTGCGGGGCTTGAACACTGGAAGAAGGGCCCCTCGGCTCAGCGCCTCTCACGCGTCGGCCGCAGACGCGGCAGGCACGCCTGCAAAGTGCGTTCCTCGCGTTTCCCCCATCGCGTTCGTAAGGCTGGGACATCAAGGGGGCAGGCGGTCAAGCCCCGCCCCGCGGCGCCCCCCCAACCTGCCGGCGACAAGACACCCCGCGTGCGCGGTTTCACGTGACCACGTGGCGTCGGGTACGCGGAATCGGGAGGGGGCTGGGGTCGCCCCGAGTCTCTGCTAGTAAGATACGTAAGGAACCTCTAGAGCGGGGTGAGATGTAGCGAGACAAGGAAGTGACGGGTTTTTAGTATTTACTTTGGTTTTTAATAGAATTTATCGAATTTAATAGCGTTTAATAGAATTTATCGAAGTCTGAGCTTAAATAATTTCTCTAAATGGCCATGTTTAACAACCGGCTGGCAAAAGTCCTGAAAGCGTAGGGCTCTCACAAGCTAGGATGAGGGGGATCCTGCACAGCACTAGGTACGAGGGAAGCATCTAGAACGAGAGGCCAGAGTCCTGTGGGTGTGGAGCAGGCACAGGTGACCAGGATCGTCCCGTATCAGCGCCCTGGGTCTGCTTCAGCTCTTCATTTTCCTCACATCCAGGAACCCATATTTCAATTATTTAATTTATTATTTTTGAGAGAGGCAGCGAGCATGCGTGTGAGCGGAGAAGGGGCAGAGAGAGAGGGGACAGAGGGTCCAAAGTGGGCTCTTTGCTGACAGCAGAGGGCTTGACGTGGGGCTCGAACTCACGAACCGTGAGATCATGACCTGAGCTAAAGCCCCAAGCCCCACAGTTAACCAACAAAGCCACCCAGATGCCCCAGAACCCACTCTTGCCAGGCCCTTCCTCTGGTGACCTCTGGACTGAGCTTCTAGCTTCATATCTGACTCACCCCCTCGGGGACTGACCCCAAACGGTGCCTCAAAGTGGGTAAAATGAGGGTGAGCAGAAACCCACCCCCCCCAGGCCCTGACTAGCTGGATGGGACCAGCTGAAGACCCTCCTGCAGTCAGACAGAGGTTAAATACACCCCCAGGGGCCCAATCATCCCCATTTAGTAGATGTGAAAACTGAGGCTAAAGGGAGTTGTTACCCAAGGTCAACAGCTGCCAAGAGACAGAGGCAACACCAGCGTTCAGGCTCGTCAGCCCCCAAACCCATCTCCTTTCTGTAGAGTGTCCGGCACCATCCTAGAAACTGCTCGCAGGGCTTGCTTCACGCACCGCGGCAGCTCTTGGATTTTAGTGCATACGATTCCAGAATTATAATTAAAACTTACATCCCCTAAAGAGACGGCCAGCAACTTGAGAGCAGGGCTGTGTTGTATTCGCAGCATTTAGAACTCCAGCTCATGGGCATCAGGTGTGACCTTGAAGAACTCCTTGCTCCAGGTCTCCCATGGTACATATCGGGGAAACTGAGCCCCATGGCCATGTAGCAATGACACAGAGAAGCAGGACTAGAACCCAGGCCTCCTATCAAGCAGTCTGAGTTGTGGGTGAATGATAGAGGCAGGCTTCCCTCTCGCCAGAAAGGCCCAGCCAGACGGAAAAAGCGAGCTGAGCATATCGTATATCCTCATCTGGATTTGGGGGTGATGCCAGAAGAGACTTCCTTCCAGGACTGGCTCCCTAGAGGCTCTTTGAGAAAGCCCCCCGAGCAACGGAGGCTCCATGGGATGTTGTCAATATAGGTCCTGCAGGGATGTGCAGAGACATCGGGGAAACTGAGGCAAGAAGGCAAATCTTCAGGGACCCTCAGAACCTGAGATCCGAAACAAAGACTTCTAGGTTCTCAAACTCTCTCCTCTTTCACCCGGGCCAGACAGAGCTCTTCTAAAGCAGGAGTGACTCTTACAGAACTACCTAGAACTTGTGAATCCAGGGGCCAGGCAAGCAGGAAGCTGGAGACTGTCTGCTAAAGTCGTGGTTCCAGCACCTTCCAGGCAGATGGAGTCCTCAGGAGGCTGCAGAGACCTCGATGCGGGTATACGGGATACCAGCAGAGCTCTGCTGGTGGCCAAAGCTCAGGGTGAACCTGTCAGGCAGAGAGTGGGGGGGGGGGTCTCTGTCTCTCTCTGTCTCTGATGTCAGGGACTGAAGTGGTGACTACCAGACCCTGTGAAAGCCCCACATTGACATGTCTCTTCCTGAGACATTTCAGGGCAGACCCAGCTTCCTCCCCCGCCCCTGCAATGTGACCCCAAGTTGCCGGCCTGTGCCCGCCTCCTCCCTCAGCTGCAGTTACGTCCTGCTTGACCCAAAGCTGCCTTCTCCTGCCTTTCTTTTTTTTTTTTTTTTTTTTTTTATTTTTATTTATTTCTAGGAGAGAGAGAGAGAGACAGCGTGAGCAGGGGAGGGTCAGAGAGAGAGGGAGTCACAGACTGAAACAGGCTCCAGGCTCTGAGCTGGCAGTCAGCACAGAGCCCGACGCGGGGCTTGAACCCACGAACCGCGAGATCATGACCTAAGTGAAAGTCGGACGCTCAACCGACTAAGCCACCCAGGCGCCCCTCTCCTGCCTTTCTGCCTCCTTAGCTCCTCATCCCAGAGGAGGGGTCTGGAATCTTCTCCCAAGAAAGCCCGTGCGGTAGAGATTCCATGGCTTCTACTATCTGTACCTCCCTTAAGCCCCGTACGAGTGGCCTTGATTCTTAGCTGGGGACGTGGCTCCCCAGATTCAAGCTCGTTTCTTTCTTTTTTTCTGTAATCTTTTTTTTTTCTATGTTTGTTTATTTTTGAGAGAGAGAGAAAGAGAGCGCGAGCGGGGAGAGGCAGAGAGAGACACAGGATCCGAAGCGGGCTCTGCGCTGACGGTCGTGGGGCTGGAACTCACCAACCGTGAGCTCATGACCTGAGCTGAAGTCGGACACTCAACCAACAGAGGCCCCCAGGCGGCCCTAAAGCCTGTTTCTCAGCCTCCCCTGCAGGCGGGCGGAGCCAGGCTCTGTACACAAGATGCAGGTGGGGGCTCACCACCCAGGCTGGGTGGGAAAGGTGATCTCGAGAGATGGCAGAGCAGAGAGAGGAACGGGGACCCTGGATGGCCTCTGGGGGCACGGCGGCCTCCCCAGCCCTGTTCCAAGCAGCCAAGTCTGTTTCCTAACCTATAGGGCGGGGCTGCTGAGGGCTCATCCAGCAAACGGGGGGTGCTCGGTGGGCAGAGAACATCAGGGCTGGAGTGGAGCAGGTGGGAAGCTTTTACACTGGACTAGGTGTGCGTCCCTTCCGGGAACCAGGTCGGGTGGCACCTGGCAGGCCAGGCAGCTGTAGGAGGCAAATTCTAACTCAATTTAGAATGACTTATATTTTTGAATCATTTAGGGCTTCCCAGGAATAGAATGGCCAGTCAGATGTTGGGGACTCCCTTTACTACAAGGAGTAGACAGGGGCATTTGCCAAGGATATGTAGGATGATAGTGTTTTCCGGTCCCTTCTGATGCCCCTGTTCCTCGCTTCCCTTATTTGAATGGCCCAAGGCCCCGTGATGCTAGGATTCTCAACTCCTCTCTATGATCTAAAGACCTTAGGTGATCAAGCTCCTATACACTGGGATGATGTCATCTTCTACCCATCCTGCCCCCTCCCGCCCACTGTTCCAGCCACCCTGGTTTCCTTGTGCGCTTCCAGATACACTCCCAACCTCAGGGCCTTTGCACTTGCTGTTCTCGCTACCCAGAATGCTCCTCCCCCTCATCTTTACATGGCTGTGTCCTTCCCACCAACTGAAATTACACCTGCTCAGAGAGGCCTCCCCTCTCTGACCACCCGCTCTACTTTGGCCACAATGCCTTGCCCCTCTGTCCCCCTCTCTGCCAGTCAGGCCTTCTCAACAGATTTCACTCTGTTTCATATTCTTCCAGCCACATACCACTAACCAAAATGCTCTTGCCGGTGCATTGATTGGCTTGCTGATTTTCTGTCCCCTCTTCTCCCCTCGAACAGACCTAGGACCTTTCCCATTTTACTCTCGGCCACTTGTGTCTGTTTCTGAAGGCCCACACACTGCCTGGCACGTAGTAGGGGCTTAATAAACATCCACTGAATGAGCCCACAGTCCTTTGTGTGTGACTTTAAAAGCCACAGTTATAAAATTTTTCTCTGCGTTTCTACGAGTCTAAGATTCTGGGGCATTAGGACTCTACTATTCTAACCTCATGTGATTCCATAATGGCACGGTTTTAAAACTCCCTTGAGCCGGGCCTTAAAGTCAGATGAAATTCTGCTGTAGAAAGAGACCAACTGACAGCATCCAGGCATTTAGAGTGTCAGGAAGAGGAGAAAAACTCTCCTGCAAAGGGAGAGTGTGACAACTGGATCCTGAACAGACTTGCTCCGAGTCTGATGTGACTCTTTCCCGAGGCCCAGGCCCCTCTTACCGTCTCCTCTGGAACTGCTGGTCTATCTCTGCCAGTGACTGGCCTTTCGTTTCGGGGACAAATAAATAGATGAAGGCTAGGCCGAGGACGGCGGCCAGCCCGTAGAGCAAGAAGGTCCAGGACAAGCCGATGGTGCCTGGGAACAAGAGAGCGAGAGCGTGGGCAGGGGCCCGGCCCGGCCAGTCCACCCGAAGCGAATTCTCCAGATGTTTGAGTTGTGTTTATCTGACACAGGCTGTCAGACCAACCCCTCAAGGTGGGAGTAGGCCCGGTTGTCTCAGAGGCGGGGGCCCCGGTCCACAAACACAGAGAGTGCATCTTGTGTGTTCCGGAAGGCCCACCCACCCACAGGTAAAACGCAGAGCCCAGCACCCACCCCCCAAATGCTCAGAAATTCCACAAACCGGTTATTGGGAGAATGAATTGAGCATCTAGGGAATGGAGTCTCGGCTCATGTGACCTGTGTCTAATTCCCAGACTGCCCCCCTGTCCCAGCCTCTTCCGAGCCTCACCCAGGCCTCCAGGGAGGGCCAGGGTCTCAGGGCCAGCAGCCGGGACCTCCGAGGTGACCCTTGTTCCTTTGAAGTGTGTCAGCCCAAGCCGGGGAAAGGAGACCATGAGGGAAGGGCCGTGTGGAGACAGAAACACAAATTATATTCCAAAACCATTGCCGTCCTCACCTCAGAGGCCATGACCTCTGGGCAACCTCCCCGAACAGCTTGGCCTCCACTTAATCGTCATCCGAGCAGCGAGGGAGCCGGCCTGGGAGTCAGGAGGGCTCGGCGCCCTCCCTACCTGCTGGCCTCGGGAAGGACGCATTGCCCCATATGTGAAATGGGGATGGTGAGAATATGATACAATTTCGATAACTCCCTCCCTCCTCTCCCCTCCTCTCTTCCTCCTTCCCTCCCTTCCCTTTCTGTCTCTCCCTTTCTCTCTCATTTATTCCACAGAAAGGGGATGCTTGAAGGCTGAGGCAATAGTTAGCAGCCTGGCTTCCCTAAGACCGGGGCTGGGGGGCAGGCACAGCGGTGGATTCTTCTACCAGCCTCTCCCACAGGCCCCAGGGTGGCTGTGCCTTTGAGGAGGAAATGCTTGGCGGCAGAAAACGGGAAAATAACTGAGCCCTAAGAACTGTGCCTCGGGGCTCACGGTGATGGAGTCCTTCCCACTTTGGCCCTGGTGACCAGTGGCCTTGGGCCAGGAGCACCTCAGCAACTCAGAGTTCCCTTCTGGATGTTCTGGGCCCAGAACATTCTCCCCACCCCCCATTGGCTCAGGCTGGGTTTGAAGGCCAGGTAGGAAGAGATAGTGTCACTCAAACTAGCGGAAGAGCTTCCTGCTGGACGGTGGGCACGAGCCTGTTTGAGCACAACTCCTATACCCGTGGGTCTCAGACGCATTCCCACTAGTGTGGGTGTAGACTGACACCTTTTATTGGGCCTGGAGAACTTTACATTCTGCACTAAGCTTGATTTAAAGAATAGTTCTGTTGCTACAAGTAGGAAACTTTTTTAAGAAACTCCCCTGCTTTAACGTTAAGGGCCTTTGGGCTACAGTGAAGGAAATGGACTTGCTGTGGGGGGTATCGGAGTCCCACACTCAGACTCCTCCATTTCCCCACCGGAAGCTTGTTCCTTACCCACCCCACCCACCCCGGCCTTCACATGGGTTCCAGACTTAGGACTGGCTGCTTCAGCTCTTCCCTCCCTCAGCCCCAACTCCCACCTGTCAATCAAGCCGGCCTACTCATTGATGGGACCTGGAATGGGGCAGAAGCTTCCAAGGTCATGTCTCCTCTTGTCTTTGTCTGCCAGCCTCTCCTCCCCCCCATGGCTGATACCTGATACTAGCACCCTGATACCTAGCATCCTTTGACGAACCTTCCTCCACCCAACCTCTGTCCAGGCGGTTGGGTGAAGTGGTGCCCCACCCACCCCGGCTGCAGTGGGAGGTATACACCCCTGGCCTGGGCATCAGAAGCTTGCAGCTGTCCAGGCGGGGATGGGTACGCCACCTCGCTGAGCCAGCAGGAGCCCATCCCACGACCTGGGTAGGAACACCGGGAAAGAATCGCTCTCTTTCGGTTGGGGGTGCCCGGCTGCGCCACTTGCAGGTGGCCGCCTCTGCCACCAAGAGGCGGGGCTGCCTGAGAAGCTCTGGGCCAGCAGAGCAGAAAGAGGGGGAGAGCTGGTGACAGCCTGGTGGCAACCGGTGGGTCAGGGGTGCCTGAAGCCTGCCACCCTCTTCTCTGTGATTTAAGACAAAAATCCTCCCTTTGGTTCATAAGCTGGTTTGCACTGGTTTTCCTGACACTTGGGCCCCGACAGATACGGAAGCCCCGGCTTCCCGGATCTAGAAGGAACAGGACCTCGGAGTTAGGTCACAGGACTCACCGATGAGGTCGAGGAAGGAGAGGCTGACGAGGAGGTTGCTGGCCCAGTTGAAGCTGTTGCAGAAGGCGAAGGCTCTGCCTCGAATCTCCACTGGGTAGATCTCACTGAGGACGAGCCAGGTCACTGGGACAGGAGAGCAGGGCGGCGGGGCGGCAGCGGCGGGGACAGAGCCCCGCACCACGGCCAGCGGGCAGCCCCCCAACAACAGAGTGTCAGGCCACGGCGCCCCCTCCTCCCTCCTCCCCCCTCCTCCCGCCCCCTCCCCACTCTTACCACGGCCTCCCCCTCGGACAGCAGTAAGAGCCCCTTTCGAGTAAACCCCGAGTGATCTATCCAGGGGCAACCCTCGGGTTTTCTGAGGCCTGATGCTTAAATAATTTGGGGGCCTTTGTAAAAAAACAAAACAAAACTGCGAGCAGAAAATCAGGCCCCGTCCTCGGAAGGAGGGCCTGCAAGGAGGCAAGGCCGGCGGACACTTCCCTGGCCTCAGCGCTCAAGCCACCTCTGGCGTCCCTCCGAGACCCTGACGGACACGGTCCCCAACCTTTCCGCTGCACAGTCACCTGCAAGAGAACCGTCCCCTACCTGGTCCAAATCCGAAGGAGAAGCCAGTCACAAAGACCATCATACAGGCGAGCGCGGCCCAGCGCAGCAGGCCTCGCCCTGGGGCAGAAGGGGGTGTCGGGGAGGCGGGGCTCAGGGCGGGCAGGGCAGGGGCCGGGGGGTCCCCAGCTCGGGCGTGAGGCTGGATCGTCTCAACGGTCCACGAGACTGGCCTCCCCGGGCTCTCACTGGCCGTGGGCAGCGGAGGCGGAGTCCCTGGCCTTGGCAGCCCTGAGTCCCCAGCGAGGCGGGTGGCGTTGGGCCCTGTCAGGCAGCGTGGGCCGGGGGCTGGGGGCGTTGCAAAGCTGACCAAGCCTATGCCGCTGACCGACAGGGCCATGAGGCCGCAGCCTGCCAGCAGCAGGGCCCGGCGGCCCGCCCGCTCCACCAGCCCCATGGCAGTCAGGGTGGCCAGCACCTTCACAGCGCCGAGTCCCACAGAGGCCAGCACAGCCGAGGAGCCTCCACAGAAGCCCACCGCCCGGAAGATGGTGGAGGCGTAGCTCAGCACATTGGGCTGCCCCGTTAGCTGCTGGAAAAGCACCAGCCCCAGCCCCACCGCCGTCCGGGCCCGCATGTTGCCCCGCGCCCTGAAGAGGTCCAGAAGGGAGTATCCGGGCCTCCCCAGGCCTGGCTTGGCGGCCTCTCCTCCCTGGAGGGGAATGAGGTCCTTGAGCGCTGTGGTGTCGTTAGCAGCCGCCGGGAGCCAGAGGAGGCCGACGGACTGCAGGAGGGCAGGGGCAGCCGCCCAGCCGAACATGTGCCTCCACCCCCGGGGGGCGCCAGCCAGGGCGTAGTTGAGCGCATAGGAGAGCAGGATGCCCACGGTGATGCCTGCCTCGTACAGGGACACCAGCACTCCCCGCTGCCGCGGCCCCGCCAGCTCGGACACATAAATGCAGCAGGCCATGGAGGACAGGGAGATGGCGAATCCAGCTGCCACGCGCCCCAGGACCAGCCAGGCCAGCGAGCCAGCCAGGCCCAGGCACAGGCTGCCGGCCAAGAGCACCACGTTGCTCCCAAGGATGGCTTCCTTCCTGCCATAGCGATCGATGAGGATGCCGCCCAGCAGGGAGGCGAGGAGAGCCCCCAGGAGCAGGCTGCCCACCACCAGCTCCTGCTCCGAGCACGACAGCCCGAGGTCGAGCTGCAGTGGCAGCAGGGTGCCTGATACGACCGCCAGTTCATAGCCGAAGGTCAGGCCGCCCAGCGAGGACACAGAGGCGCACAGGGGCACGAGCAGGTGGGGACGGCCTGGAAAACAAAAGTGACAGGAGCAGAATTCAGGAAGGCTCCGTGCCGGAGCAGCCATCCACCCAGCTTTCATAAGCTCCGTCTGTCATCCTCTCCACCTGTCCATCCAGCCGCTCTGTCACTCACCTGTGCATCCATCCACCCATCCATTCAGTTATTAATCCATCCATCCTTCACCCATTCATCCACTCCTTCCTTCACCCACCCACCCCTCCATCCATCTACCGTCATTCTCTTATCTATCCATTTGCTGTTCCATCTATCCATCCTCCAATTCATTCATCTGTCCATCCTTCATCCATCCATCCACTCTTCCTTCATCTTTCCCTCCATCCCTCCACTCATCCATCCATCCACTCATCCATCTACTCACATATGCATTTATGTATCCATCCATCCATCATCCATCCATCCAGCATGCATCCATCCACTTCATTCTTCATCCATCTCTCCTTCACCCCCATCATCCATCATCTGCCCATCTGTCTACTTCATCTGTTCACCCATCTATTTATTAATCAATCTATTCATCCATCCTTCATCATCTACTCCTCCATCCATCCATTTGCTCCCTCTACCACATATTCATCCATCCATTTGTCCATTCATATATCCCTTAATTCACCGTCCATGTATTTACTGATGCATTTATCCACAAATACAGCCATGCATCCATCCATCTTTGTATTCCATCCCTTCTGTACCCATTCACACCCTTACCCATCCATCCATGCATCCAGCCAGCCAGCCATTCAAAAATGTATTTGGCATCTACCACATGCCAGACAGTGTTCTTGGGGCTGGCAGTACAATGGTCTTGTCAAGCACCTGACATTCTAGTAGTATTCTTCTAGTAAAGAAAGGAAGATGTCACATTTATAGTTATATACATATGATAGATGGTGCTCAGAAAGGTGCATAAGAAAAAGCAGGGAAAGTAGGTTGAATGTGATGGAAGAATTTGGTTTTAAATAGGCAGTTGGTTAAGGCTTCTCTGAAGAGGGAAGATTTGAGCAGAGATCTGAATTAAGTGAGGGTGAAAGCCACGTAAAATCTGGGAGAAGAACACTCTACAGTGGGAACAGCAAAAACAAAGACACCGAGGCAAGGCAGTTTTTGGTATGTTTAAACTATAACCATTAATACTAATAGCTAGTGCTTATATGGCACTAAGTGTGTTTTAAGAACGTTACGTGCACTACTCATTTAATTCTTACCGCAATCCTATAACATATTGTTATTAGCATCACCCTCCAAGGCTCAGTGAGGTTAAGAAACTTTCTCATGGTCACACAGCAAGTGGTGGCAGTTGCAGTCAGAGAGGACAGGCTTTTTTTTTTTTTTTTTTTTTTTAAATTTATTTCTAGGAGAGAGAGAGACAGCGTGAGCAGGGGAGGGTCAGAGAGAGAGGGAGTCACAGACTGAAACAGGCTCCAGGCTCTGAGCTGGCAGTCAGCACAGAGCCCGACGCGGGGCTCGAACCCACGAACCGCGAGATCATGACCTAAGTGAAAGTCGGACGCTTAACCGACTAAGCCACCCAGGCGCCCCAGAGAGGACAGGCTTTTAATCACTGTGCTATCAGCAGAGAGAGAGGGAGACACAGAATCTGAAGCAGGCTCCAGGCTCTGAGCTAACTGTCAACACAGAGCCCGATCCGGGGCTCAAACCCATGAACTGAGATCATGACCTGAGCCGAAGTTGGACATTCAACCGGCTGAGTCACCAAGGTGCTCCAAGGAACCGCATTTTTAATTTTATTTGATTTTAATTAATTTAAATGTAAAAATTTATGGCTAGCAGCCACCATATTGGCCGTGCAGTTACAGGTTACTCTTAATTCTTTAAAAAGATTTTTTTTTAATGTTTATTTATTTTTGAAAGAGAGAGAAAGAGAGTGCAAACAGGGGAGGGGCAGAGAGAGAGGGAAACACAGAATCTGAAGCAGGCTCAGGCTCCAAGCTGTCAGCACAGAGCCCAAAATGGGGCTCAGATTCACAAACCGTAAGATCATGGCCTGATTTGAAGTCAGATGCTTAACCGACTGAGCCACTCAGGTGCCCCAGTTACTCTTAATTCTTAATTCACATACTTACACTTAGATATTTCTAGATGCATCTAGACTATTCCAGCAGCATCCATCTCACCCACGCCCACCCTGGACCTGACTAGAACACTGACAATACAACAGCCAGATTCGCTGAGTGTTTTCTCTGGACCAGGCACTGCTTTGAGCACTTTCAGGGCAATAACACATTTGACTCAATATAACTTCACGTGGTGGGCTTTTAGATGATTTATGAATGAATAAACTGATCACCAGAGGTGAGGTGACTTGTCTCAGGTCCAAAGTGGCTGAGCCTGGATTCAAAGCCAGGCAGGCGGTCTGACTCCACACTCCGCGCCCTTAATCACTCCATTACAAAACGTTGGTAGATGATGATTTTTCTCTCTTTTCTCCTACGTCTACCTCTCCCCATCTCTGTTAGGCAATTTTTGTGCAGGGGGAGGAGTTTCATAGGTGAAAGGCTCATCCCTCATTTCTGTTCCCCCTTCTCCCTCACACCCCGCCCCCTGGGAGATAACCCCTACCTCTCCCTGCCTGGCCCTGCGTTTCCTGCTCATGACCGTCCACAGACCCCCTAGCAAGATTATGCTACCCAGGTCCCACCCCGTCTTCACCTCCTTTTGCCCCATCTCCCTCGGTTCCTGGAGTTTACTGGCGGGAGGGAAGGTTCTTCTAGGCCATGTGAAGCAATCAAGTGAAAACAGAATTTATTTGCCATTTCCTCACTTCCTCTTGAGTTGAAAGGGAACCCAGCCAAGGGACTCAGAGGCAAAGTTGACTGTCTACAGGTTCCGCTGGAAAAGGCATCAGGGCGGATTGGGGTCACGGTGATAAGAGCAGAACAGCAACAAAATAGCGATACTGACAGGTGTCATTGACCGAACATCACCCCTGTGCAAAGACTTCAGCGCCTTCTCTTAACTCATCTTCATAACCGCCCTGGGTGGTGCAGGTGCAATCGTCCCCACTTTACAGATGGGCAAATAAGGCTCGGACTCTTCTCACAGCTGGCAAGCCACGGGATCAGGCCTCAGACACTCATCCATCCGACTCCCAAACCCATATACTTAACAGCTCTGCTGAACCGACTTCGAGCAAGAAGGACAGTCAAAGGGAGGTGGGGGGTGAGGAAGAGCAGGGGTGCAGGGTCGGGGGGGTGCAATACAGATGCGTTAGCTCTCAGGGAAACCCAAGTCACGGGCATAGTGAAACAAGAGCGCCCGAGGGAGCCACGAAGGAGAGGCCCCAAGGAGTCAGGGCCTTGGAAAGACTAAGGAAGCACATTCCCTCCGTAGGGGCTCCCATTGCCTGTCACTCCTTAGCAGGTCATCCCAGGCCCTACCTGAGCTGGCGGCCCCTCCCCCCTCCCCAGTCACTTTCCCTCCCGGCTCTGTCCCCGGCTTCCCACCGGCCTCCCACCAGCCCTGCACAAAGGGTTCGCAGCACACACCACCCAGTTTCACGCCCGCCTGCTCTTCCTGCCCCGCCTGGGTCCCCTACAGGCCCACGTAGCCTCTGTCGGCCCGGCTCACGGTCACCTCCCGGAGGGGGGTTGAGTTGCACGGGTCTGGTATTAGGCCCGCCCTCCCCCTCCTCTGCTGGGGCTCTGCCCTTCCCTGCCCTTTGTCTCTCAGGCTCCTGGCTGGGGCAGAAATGACCACCCCCACCCTCACTGCCTAGTCCAGGGCGGTGGCCGTGACCTCGATCTGACCAACCAGCAAGTTCCCAGGCCCTGGGCAGTGATGAAAGGCACTTGGCTGGGTCTGGGCCAGTGTATTTGCTTACTGAGGGTGTTAAGCTGGCAGTTTACCTGCCTGGAGCAGCTGGGGGCCATCTTCCCACTTGGTGGGTCCCGAGCCTGAGGCCATGGAGTTTTTATTTTTCTCTTCCTTTTCTTTCTCTTTTTCTTTCTTTCTTTCTTTTTCTTTCTTTCTTTCTTTCTTTCTTTCTTTCTTTCTTTCTTTCTTTCTTTCTTTCTTTCTTTCTTTCTTTCTTTCTTCCTTCCTTCCTTCCTTCCTTCCTTCCTTCCTTCCTTTCTTTCTCCCTCTCTCTCTCTCTCTCTCTTTCTTTCTTCTTTTGCTTAAGCTAGTTCAGGGGAGGCCCTGGCTAATTCCTATACCTCTTCCTCAACTTTCTAAGCCACGTTTTTCACTCCCAACCAACTCTGTGTTCCCCCTTCCTTTGCTTACACCCTCTCGAGGTTGTTGGTGGGTCTTCCTTTATTAAACTGGGAAGGGCAGGGACAGAGACTTCCTGTCTGTGCCTCCTGAGCCCCAGCCCCACGCTGCCAGCCAAGAGGGGCTCCGTAGGATTTCTGCCGAGTGAACCAGTGACGAAGCTGGGGACTAGGGAGGTGCCATGTGGTGGGGCTGTGTCACATACGTGTGAGCCTAGGATAACACTCTGTGACAGCCGCAGGGGTCCTGTGAAAGCCTCAGCCATTCCGCTCAGAGCCCTCAAGGCTCCCACCCTATTCTGAAAAGAGCCCAAGTTCTGATGGTGGCCTTCAAGGCCCTGTATGATCCGCCCACTCTCTTGGCTCCATGCCAGCTTCCTTGTTCTTCCTCCTCATTCCTGTGTGACTCACCGCAAGGCCTTCTACCAGCTGTCACTCTGCTGGGTGAGCGCTCCCCCTCCATCCCTTCCCTCTTTCCCTCTGGTCTTTGCTCAAACACCACCTTCTCATGAGGCCTTCCCTGGGCCTCTGCTTAAAACTGCAACCTCCCCATTGCATCCAGCACTTTTTTTTTTTATGCTTATTTATTTTTGAGAGACAGAGAGACAGAGTATGAGCAGGGGAGGGGCAGAGAGAGAGGGATACACAGAATTCGAAGCAGGGTCCAGGCTCCGAGCTGTCAGCACAGAGCCCGATGCGGGGCTTGAACCCACGAGCCGTGAAATCACGACCTGAGCCGAAGTCAGACACTCAACCGACTGAGCCATCCAGGCGCCCCTCACATCTAGCACTTCTAATGCCCTTCCCTGTTAATTTCTCTCCCTGGTACTTCTCACCCTCTGAAAGAACTATATATTGTACATATTTATTGTTCTTCCCCAACCAGAATATTGGCCCCAAAGGAACAGGAATTGTTTGTTTGTCCTTAGCTGCTGATGCCGAGGACAGTTCCCGGCATTCAGCAAATCTTGTTGAATAAATAGATGATCGAATGAAGGAATTCTGGGTCGCTTAGGGAACCCAGAGAGAAAGGATCTTGGCTCTCGGGTATTTGGAGAGGTCTAGGGTCCGGAAAGGGCCACACTCCACAGAAAGTAGAGTCGACTCTGGCCCCCAAGTCAGAGCCCAGCCTGGGTTTGGGAACTGCTCTCCCTGCTATGAATGATCTCTCTAAATATAGGCTGTCTACGAGGCTGTCCCACACGGGAGGAAACCCCTTCATCCCCGAGGCCCCTCCCTGTGGAGGACTGGGTTTCCCAGGGAGAGAAGCAGGGAGCAGCGGAAGGCAAACGAAGTCAGGTATGGGGGGGGTGCCTGTATCACCCGCTGCAGGTCCCAGGGAGCCTCGGGTGGGTGACACGGAAACAGCATCTCAGCCAGAAGTCACAATGCACAGGGTCCCTCTCATATCTGCCCTGGCTTTCCGGGAAGCTCCAGGGAGAAGGCAGAGCAAACTTGAACTATGCAAATACCCTCATCCGGGAGGCGGGCCTCCGAACGTCCCAGCACAGCTAATAAATACATAAGGCACACTCACACAGCCCGCCGGAGAGCCACATCTGGAAGCTCTGTGTGTATCCGCTGACTTAATCCCTACGGCAAGCCTATGTGAGCCCTGCTGTTGTTCCCATTTTACAGATGAAGCAACCGAGGCACAGAGAGGGGAAGACATTTTGCCCAAGGTGGCAGTTTTGTAAGTGACAGCGCAGAGGGTCACCTTGGCCAGTCTTGACTCCAGAGTCCCAACACTGAGTGTGATGAAAAAGAAAAGCTCACACTGAGTGGCCATTCACCATGTGCAGGTGGGGAGCTGAGCACTTTTTGTTCATTCGCTCGTCATTCTCGCGGCTGCCTTGTGATTCGCATCTGGTGCGTGGGTCGTTTCATAGATGAGGAAGCCGGGGGGCAGGGAGGTGGACGAGGTGATGGACCCAGAAGTTCGGGAAGGGGGGCTGGAACCCAGGTCTACACACAGGACCCAACCCCTGAGAAAGCGAGCCAAGGAAAGCAGCCCCAGGACCTCTGGGGAGGACGGAGCCTGGTGCCAGCTAGTTTGTACCTCCCTCCTCCCCACTCCCACTCGGCCCCAGTTCTGTCCTTAGGAGAGGCTTAGTCAACAGCTGTTGGACTCACTTAGGAGGCAGCAAAGGGATAGGAGGGCCGGGTGCAAGGGACCAGGGTCAAGCTGAGTGTTCTTGGGAGGACCTCTCTGGGCCTAGGCTTCCCTCAGGCTCTGGGGCAGTATGCCTTGACGGTTAAGCACACGGACTCTGGAGTCAGAGCTGGAATTGGTGACCAGTTGTGCCATTAGCTCTGCATGAGAGGCTGGGTGGTACAGTGGTTCGGGATGCAGACCGGAGCCCGAGTGTTGGGGTTCCATCCCAGCTTTTCTACTCCACAGCTGTGTGACCTTGGGCAGCTCACTTTACCTCTCTGAGCTTCCCTATCTACAAATCTGGATAATAGTCCTATCTGCCTTGCACACCTGCCTGGCTTATAGCCACTGTTAGCTATTAGGATTCTTCATAGAATGATCCAGCGTGAGTTTTTAAAACACAATTGGGGTCGCATTCCACCCCAGCTTAAAACCCTTCTCCAGCTTCCCTTGTCATTTGGAATAAAATCCAAACTTCTCACCACGGTCTACAAAGTCCTACACAGTCTAGCCCCTGCCTAACTCTGAACTCCCCCCACACCCCACACCCCCGTTCCCCTTGCCCACTGTGCTCCAGCTACACTGGCCTGAACATACCTGCTCACTCATGCCTCAGGACCTTTGCACTTGCTATCCCTCCCCCTAGCAGCTCTTCTTACAAATCTTAGCAAACCTGTTTGTTCTGAGGATGTCTCAGCTCCAGTGTTATCTAGCCGCTGCTATCTACTGACCTAAAGAAGTTCCCTCCCTCGCCATTATCACACGACCTCATCTTTTGTGTCCACAGCTTCTTAACCTCTCTTGCAGATTATTTTGTTCATTTACTTGCTTGTCCAGCTTCTCAACTGGACTGTCAGCTCCGTAGAAGAGAGGGCTACCGTCTACTTTGTTCATCCCTGAGTCCCCAGCCCCTGAGTGGCCCCTGAGTGGCCACAGGAGGCTCTGGATCCAGCCACCCCCAGGGCGGGATTCCTGCCTCCTTCTCCCTCATGGAGTATCCGGGAAGCAGAGGTGTTGCCCATGTTGTTCGCAGCGGCGTCGGGAGGCCTGGCCACAGAAGTGTTCAGCAAACTGATGGATGAATTTGCTCCTCTCGGAACCTCTATTTCTCTATCTGCGGAATAGGCGCGCTCTCCCTTGCGGGCGGCGGATGTAAGGCTGGGAGCGGCCGGAGGGGGCCTGCCCGGGGTCCGCAGCCCAGTGTCGAGTAAAGATCACTCTCGGGTCACTTTTCGTCTGGGCAGAAAGGAGCCTGGAAGGAAGTGCGCCCGCGTCGCGTCCCAGCGCCGGGCCAGGCCCGCTGTCCCCACCCGGGTGGGTGCTGGGGGGCATGGGGGGTGCGCACGGATGGGGTCGCCGGGGCTCCCCCGCGGGCAGCGCCCCATCTCCACTTACCCATGGCGAGCTCGACTCCCGTGCGAGCGGGGGCGCCGCAGCCGGGCGCGCATCCCCCGCCGGAGTCCCCGCCTCTGTCGCCCGACAAACTTTCCCGGCCGCCTCGGCCTCCCTCCTCCCGCCTCCGGCCCTCCTCCCCGCCCTCCTCCCGGCCCGCCTGCTGCTGCGCGGCCGCCACGTCTTCGGCCTGGCCCCCCCCGTCCAGGGAGGAGGGACCGAGGGGCGCCGGGGACGCCCTGGGCCTGGCTGGGGTCCCCGCCCCCGGCGCTCCTCCTGGATCCCGCCCACTGTCGTCCCTGTTGGGGGGGACCCCCCCCCCCGCACGCTCCCCTCCCTTGTGCTCCCTGCAGCCCCCATATTACTAGTCTGGCCTCTCCAGCGTGTGTGTACTACACACACACACACACACACACACACACACTCAGGTGCCCACACCGACACAGACACTCACATACGCGGTTCGGCCGCTCAGCCCCTCCCTGGATTCCCGGTCCATTCATTGGACATTTGGGTCGGGACCCCCCTCCCCCCAAGTACCCACAGGCACATGCGCCTTAGCCAAGGGCTAGAAGAACAGGACAGAGTTATTTTGTGTTTTGGTAATTATTTTTTTAAGTTTTTTTTTGTTTTGAGAGAGAGAGAGCGCGCGAGCGAGAGAGGCTGATCATGACCTGAGCTGAAGTCAGACGCTTAACCAACTGAGCCACCCAGGTGCCCAAACAAGACAGGGGTGTGTGTGTGTGTGTGTGTGTGTGTGTTCTTGTGGAGTTTGCTTCCTAGTGGGGAGGAGGCGAAACTCGAGGGAGCCAGAGATGAAGTGGTGAAGGCTGGGCAGGGAAGGAAGCCAGGCCGCCAGGTCGCAGGCACAGGTGGCTGTTCCATCGTGGGGTCCCCAGCCCACGGACGGCTGCCCTCAGGGGGGATATGTGGGCTGAGACCTTGGTTTCCAGGCAAAAGGCGGAGCAAAGGGAAAGGCCTCCAGGGAGGGCGCTGGCAGAGGATAAAGAACAAGGGAAGTGTCTGGAACACAGGGGCTGGTGGGGAGAGTGGAGGGAGATGGAGCCCAAGGGAGGGGTTGGCAAAGGCCAGATCCTTTAAGGCCTCGGCAGGTCAGGGTAGGGAATGTGGATTTCATTCCAAGGGACACAAGAAAGAATTGGAGAGGTCTTGTAGGTTACAGGGAGCAAGGCAGAAACGGGAACCGAGGGATGGAGGCTGTTGGGAGGTGGGAGAGAGGCTGCTTTGGGATAAGGGAGTGGAGGGAAGTTGGCAGATGGCAGATAGACTCAAGAGGGACTTACCAACTGGGAGAGGAGCAGCTTGGGGCAGAGCTCGGGTCTGGCTGTGTGTCAGTCAAGGTCCTCTTTAGGCATCCATGTGGAAATAGGCCGGCAATTCCATCTATGAGCTTGGAGCTCTGGAAAGGAGCCAGGCAGCGGACACCCCACTAATTCTCCCTCTCAAGCAAAAGTGCACGTATAAGGTCAGCACTCACATGGCCACAGGCTTGTCCAGACTCTCAGTCGTGTTCACACAAACACACTCACCCATGGGCATCTGAAGCCACACTCTCCCCCAGCAGGGATGGTGCGTGCGCCCCCCACCCCCACCCCCACCCCCACGCAGGCCATCTCAGCAAAAAAGAAGTATTGACAACTACTTCTGGGCCAGGGGACCCTTGTTCAGTTCTGAAAATAATAATGGCTGGGGCAGCTTGAGAATGTGGCCCCCAAAATTCTTTGTTCCCTCCTTTGAAATCTAAGTGGGCTTGTGAGGGCTTCAACCAGTAGGTGGCTCAGAGTGGCCCTGTGTGATTCCTGAGGCTGGGTCACCGGGACACGGACACTTGGAGCCCTGAGCCTCTAAAAGTGCAACTACCCTGCTTGCTGTGAAAAAGCCCCAGGCACACAGAGAGACTGTGTGGACACCCCAGGGGGCAGTCTTCTCCTTGAAGTTGTCCAGCACCTGTTTCTGGAACGCGCCTTTAGATGATCCCAGCCCCTGGGCGCCTGGGTGGTTCAGTCAGTTAAGCGTCCGACTTTGGCTCAGGTCATGATCTCACGGTTCGTGGGTTTGAGCCCCGCATCGGGCTCTGTGCTGACAGCTAGCTCACAGCCTGGAGCCTGCTTCAGATTCTGTGTCTCCCTCTCCCTCTGACCCTCCCCTGCTCACGCTGTCTCTCTCTCTCAGAAATAAACATTAAAAAAAAATTTAGATGATCCCAGCCCCTAGCCACCAGATCTTTCCAACTGAGGCTCTGGACGCTGCAGAGCAGAGACAGGCCATCCCTTCTGTCTCCAAGTCTAGATTCTGGACTCCCAAATTCCATGAGTATAATAAATGGGTATTTTTAAGGTGCAAAGCTCTGGATAAATTATTATGCCCAATAATAATATGAACAATCGATGAAACTATTGACAATTATATACTTTGCATGCATTAGCTCACTGTTAACCTTCACAACTGCTTCATGAGATAGTAACTGTTACAATGTACTCCCATTTTCTGACTAGGAAACTGAGGCAAAGGGAGGTAAAGTAAGTTGCTTACACAATAGACAAATAAGTAAGATATGCTGTGCTCAAGGACTCACACCAGTATACAGTTGAGCCGGGAGTCAAGCCCACTTACGGGGAAATCGGGTCTTATCCTCACACTCTACTGCCTTTCTGGCATGGAGAAGGGACCAAGGAGGTCACACAGCCATGGTCACGTGACAACTGCTCCTTCATCTGCGAGTACCTAGGATTGTCACCGGGCTGTCAGCGAGCCCTCTTGCTCAACTACGCACCCCAACAGTTAAAACCAGAAATAGACAAGACCCCTTGACTCATGCTCAACCTGAAACCCACTGTTATTTCTTATTGCACTTTTTTGCACTGATGAAGTTTTGCAATGACCGGAACATTCCAATCTCCAGGCCAGAAAAGCCAAGGGATACCTAGAAGACCACATCCCCTTCTCTGCCCATGACCTCGTGCTGAACACATGCCAACCCCCTCTCAGGATCACACATTCTCTGTCTGCTGGGTCAGTACTTCCCTGAACCCTTCCCTAAGCATCTCCAGGTGTCCAGCTTGTCGGGGGAGGGGTCAGTCGTGAAGGCCTGAGCCTACCGCCTCCCCTCTCTCTTTTCCAAACCCTCGTCTCTTGAGTTTTTGGCTTCTCTTATGACAAGTTAGTCTGAGTTTGTTTGGCAACGGTGCCGGCAGACCCAGCCAGGAGCTCTGCTTCCATTTGTCCAGCCCCCACGGGATTCCTGGGAGGGAGCTGTCGGCGGGGGTAATGCTCACCCCTTTGTTTCCTGACTTAGTGGCTATGATAGATTGGTGACATGGGGGCCTAGTATGGCAAGGCCTGAGCTGTTCCATTCCCATGAGATAACCTATAGAAGTCGTATGAGAGAAAGGGCACACCTGGGTGGCGAGGTCGGTTGAGCATCCAACCTCGGCTCGGGTCATGGTCTCACGGCTAGTGAGTTTGAGCCCCGTGTCGGGCTGTGCGCTGACAGCTCAGAGCCTGGAACCTGCTTCTGATTCTGTGTCTCGCTCCCTCTCTGCCCCTCCCTCACTCACACTCTGTCTCTCTCTCAAAAATAAATAAACATTAAAAAAATTTTTTTAAAAAGGGCATGAAGTCCCTAGATGATCTCTGTGGCTTGCATTAAAGTCATGAGGGTGAGTGTGTGCTTGCTGTTGGCCTCTACCTACCCTAGAGAACAGAGACTCTCTCTTCATTTGTTGCCCCAAATGAGAAAGGAAATTATCTAATTGGTCCTTTGGGTAAGGGTCTTCAAAAATGGCTTCCCTTGAAGGTGGGCAGGAGCTACTAATTCATTTCCTTTACAGCAAATGATGAATGTCATCTTAGAGATTAGGTTAGAAGAGATGGTGATTTCCTTCTTGCTCACCCTGTCCCGATCTCTCACTCACTCTCTCTGATGAAGCCACCTGCCTGTGAGGAACTAAATCCCGCCACAAATTAAATAGTCATACAAACGAACAAAAAAGGAAAGTCTGTGACAATGCAAAAAAGAGGCACCGGAACTTATAAAAGTTGGATTTTTCTCTGCTCTGAGAAGTCAGGGAGGGCCTCCCTGAGGGAGTGACATTTGAGCTGAGCATTGAAAGATGTCTGGATGGGTCGAGGCAACAAAGGGAGGGAAGAGCATTTGTGGCACAGGAAACAGCAGTGCAAAGGCCCTGGTGCACGAGGGAGCCTGATAAGAATGAGAGACTGAGAGAAAGCAAATGTGTTTGGAGATCAGAGAGCAAACGTGAACTTGGTGGGAGATGAGCCTGGAAGAGGTACAGAGGGTCCCACGCAGGACCTTGTGAGTTTTTAATCCTAAACACAATAGGGGACGGATGAAAGGTTTTAAGCTGGTTTTCCTACCATAGGAGCCAGAACCATTCTGACCATAGCAAGCCTGGGACTTGTAACTATGTTTGCACAGTGGATTTTCCAAAGGAGGGGTTCAGACAGACTTGGTAACCATGGAGATGGCGATGTGGATGCTAACAATTATGATAATGAAGCCACAAGCTCGGGAGACTGGACATTATAAACAGAATTTGTTCTGGGTGAGCTTTGAGTAGTCTGGGCTGATGACAGGTGCTGGAAACCACATTGTGCCAACATAAAGGGTCTGATGTCTGAAAAGGTGGCTTGCCCTGTGTGTGAATGGCACACACGGACCGCAGAGCTGAGGGTTGGTGCCACGGCAACCCTCAGACATAAGGGTTCTTCCCCAGCATTTCAAACAGGGTCCTAATGACGGGAGAAGGACAGTGACCATATGCAGAGTGTGTGCTAACCACGCCCTCATAAGAAACATCTTATTTACTGTCAATCAGCAATTGCCACAATACAACCAATTATCTCCCTCCCAGGATGAGGAATCTGCACCTCAGAGAAACGATGTCTGTGCCTAGTTCCCTGCCTCCTTGTTTCTAGAGCAGGCCTCTGTCTGTACAGGCCAAAAATGCCAGATCCTGGGGCACCTGGGTGGCTCAGTCAGTTAAGCATCTGACTTCAGCTCAGGTCATGATTTGGCAGTTCATAAATTCGAGCCCAGCGTTGGCTGCTGTGCTGTCAGCTCAGAGCCTGGAGCTGCTTCAGATTCTGTGTCTCCCTCTCTCTCTGACCCTCTCTCTCTCTGTGTCTCAAAAATAAATAAATGTTAAAAAAAATTTTTTTAATGCCAGATCTTTACTTTTCCCGCTTCCTCTGCAGCTAAAGCAAAGACACATGGGCCAATGGTGGCCAATGTCCTGTAGAGGAAGGCTGGTGTGAGAGGAGGGACTTCCAGCAAAGGGTTTTCTCTCAAATTAAGAGAAGTGTAGAGGACACAGCACCTCTCTTCTTTAGACAGACGTGTTTGTGTTCTCATATCGCGTGTGGAACTTTGGTGGCCAGCTTGGGGACCATAAGATGACAAATGCAGGGACCAAAGCTGAAGCTGGCCAAGGGCATGGGGATAGAAAGATGGAAAGACCTTGGGTCCCTACAATAAAAAAGTGACTGAAGGGGGTGCCTGGGTGGCTCAGTCAATTAAGCATCCGACTTTGGCTCAGGTCACCATCTGGCAGTTCATGGGTTCGAGCCCTGCATCGGGCTCTGTGCTGACACCTCAGAGCCTGGAGCCTGCTTCAGAATCTGTCTCCTTCCCTCTCTGCTCCTCCCCTGCTTGCACTTTGTCTCTCTCTCTCTCAAAAATAAATAAACATTTAAAAAATAATAATAAATTTTTAAAAAGTGACTGAAGGATGCTTGGGACCCCTTACTGCCTAAAACTGTGTTCCGTCAGATAATAAATGAGCTTATTGTTTACCCTAAGTAAGCTATTTAGTTGACTAATCTGCTATTTGCAGCTTAAAATATCAAAACTACAGCAGTCTACTAATCATACTCTGTTCTAATTCCTCCCCTGCTTCCTTTTAGTAATAATCTCTCAATGTTTTAGCTGAGTTCATGGCCACTCTGCTACAGGAGATGTTTTCCAGCTTCCTTTTCAGCTTCAGGCACCCATGTGACTGAGTTCTGGCCAATAGGATGTGAGTGGAAGTAATTTGGGAGCCATTATTTTTAGGTCACTGTGTCAGTGACTCACCTTGGTCCCTAACAATAACCAAAACATAAAGTCATTCAGCGGCGGGACAAGTCAGGGTTCTGGCTGGAAGCCACACAAGCCACCTCATCCTGTGTTCGAGCACTGGACATGGCGTAACAGAGGGTCTTCCACAGTGCAATGTGGGCCTGACGTCCCCGCGGGACACAACACAATAGGGAGCCACTTTCCCTCTGAGTAGTGGTTGGATGCTGGGAGTCAACTTACAATAGCTATTGTACTAAGCCCTCCGTAAATAATAACAGCTTTTATCTACCAAATGCTTATCATATGCCTGGTATAGTTCTGTGCGTTTCACCTCTCGTTACTCATCGAATCTTCACAAAACCCTCTGTGACGGATAGAATTTACAATCTTATTTTGTAGATGAGAAACTAAAGCACAGAGTAAGTTAAATAACTCGCTCTTGCGCAAACATGCCAAGTACTCTTCTCCCCCAGGGCCTTTGCACTTCCTATTCCCTCTGCCCAGAATGCTCTTCTCCCAGGCATCCATTCACAGGCTCCGACATCACCTGTTCATAGAGGCCTTCTTTTTTTGCATAGAAGTCTTCTTAACTACCTTATTTTAAGAAAAAAAATTTTAATTTATGAGAAAGAGACAGAGCACCAGCGGAGGCGGGGCAGAGAGCGAGGGAGACACAGAATCTGAAGCAGGATCCATGCTGGGAGCTGTCAGCACAGAGCCCTACGCGGGGCTCGAACTCGTGAGCCTGAGATCATGGCTGAGCCGAAATCCGATGCTTGACCGACTGCTCTTTAACTATCTTGTTTAAAATCTTACCACTCCCCGCCACCCTCCACTCCACTACCCCTTCGGTGACCATATAACTGATCACCCAAACCAGCACGCTTTTAAGAGTAAAGAGGGGACACCATTGCTAGTTACACTATTTCCGGAAAGAGCCGAAGAACCCGCGGGAGCTCTTCGATTCCCCACTGGGAGGCGGGGCCACCGAGGCCCTTTGGAGGCTCACTGCGCGCGCTTCAGGAGAGAGTCCGGGAGGCCGAAGAGCTGCTTACCGAGAGCGGCCGAGGGCTGACGGAGACAGCCGAAGACGAGGGAGGCGGGGCCACCTCCGCCGGCCGGAGCGTGGCCGAAGAGGGCCGCCGGCTTACGGGACTGGCCGAGAGGCGCCGGCAGTTTCCGGAAAGAGCCGACGGGCTCCGAGCGGCGGCGCCGGGGCGCAGTCATGGCGGCCGCCTGCTCCGCGGCGGCGGCCGCGCGGGGCGAGGGTGCGTCGCCGGAGGCCGAGGCGCTGGCCGCGGCCCGGGAGCGGAGCAGCCGCTTCCTGAGCGGCCTGGAGCTGGTGAAGCAGGGCGCCGAGGCGCGCGTGTTCCGCGGCCGCTTCCAGGGCCGCGCGGCCATGGTGAAGCACCGCTTCCCCAAGGGCTACCGGCACCCGGCCCTGGAAGCGCGGCTCGGCCGGCGGCGGACGGTGCAGGAGGCCCGGGCGCTGCTCCGCTGCCGCCGCGCAGGTGAGGCGGCCCGACCCGGGGCCCTGGGAGGCCTGGCGCCGCGGGCGAGGGTCCCCTGAGCGCCGCGCCCCGCTTAGCCTCTCCCTTTGCACCTTCTGCGGGAACTTCTGGTGGGAAACGGCACCCGTTCATCCCTGTCTTCATTCGTTCTTAAAGGAGCCGCTTTGGCCTTGCACCCGCGACGGGCATGTGTCGCGGACCCATTGCTCCTGGTTCAGTTCCCGGCTCTAACTGTGGCTCGACGCCGAGCATGCTGTTTGACTGTCCCGAGCCTCGGTTTCCCCATTTGTACCATCTCAGTGTTCGATCGTTACCTTTACATTCATTACTTTTAAGAAGAGGGCGCCACTACAAATACTTGCTGGGGAGGCTTTTCGGGTTCAAATCCCGCCACCCTTGCTTTAAATGTAGCCTTGCAACGGATGATTTACGCTCAGTTTCCTACCTGTAGAGGGAAGTCTTAGTATGTTTGAGTGTGTGATTGGTACGTAGCACTCGGTAAGTTTTAGACTCCCAGAAATTGTTAATTTACTTTTTCATTTCACCCTCATCCCGCCACCAGGTACCCCTTGCCCTCATGAGAAACTGAGGCTCAGGCAGGAGAAGTAACTCGCCCACGGTGACACAGCTAGTGAGTGACCCAGCCAGGCCCTGACTCAGGAACATGGGCTTTTCACTTTCACACATCTTTTCTTTTGTTAATAGGTTGCTTTACCCCGGACACTGCTAGGTGCTGGGTGCTAGGTGCTGGATGCTAGGTGCTGGGGGCGGGCGGGACTCAGCAGCACATAAGCTGACAGACCTCTTGCCCTTGCTTGGCTGTCATGAAGCTATTTGTGTGTTCCCGTCTTCTGTGTTCATCTGCTCTAGCATGTAAGGTCCACTAAGCAGGGACATTGACTACTTTCTTCTCTGCCTGTCCCCACTGATAAGTCTCCTGCATCTAGAAAAGAGTCCTGGGCCTGATTGTCATTCAGGAAACATTCATTGAAACTCGAATTCAGTGAATTCCTATTGGAGGTATCAGGTCTTCTGTTACAGAAATAGAAACAGAGGCTTGGAGAATTGATGTGACTTTTAGGTTATAAAACTAGTAAGGAGTCAAACCAGGATTTGAACCTGGCCTTTGCGACTACTAAGACGAATCTCTGAGCCAGCACACTGCTTGGCCTGTTTGTGTCCAGGTCGGGTGAAACTGCTCTGACTGGGTGATGCTCACCCTTCTGGCTCTTTGTTTCATTTTGTTTTTAGGGAGTAAGCACGACAAATGCAATCCAGTCATAAAGGGTGGAAAGGAGGAGGGGGTTTTCCCACTACGGGACTCAGCTGTGGGGTGGCTGAAGGCACAGCCCTCCAGGGCACAATCGGGGGAAATTTCCAGATGCGTTACACTGTACTATTTTTCAGTATTCTTAAATCTTTTCTCTTTTTTTCTTCCTGAATAAGCAGATATGCATCGTGAAAGCCTGGCTCCGTCTTTTGAAAATTAAGCTCAACATTAAGAAAAAATCTAATCCCATAACCATTTGCATCTTGATTGCAGGGATAGCTGTGCCAGTTGTCTTTTTCGTCGACTATGCTTCTAACTGCTTATACATGGAAGAGATCGAAGGTTCTGTGACTGTCCGAGATTATATTCAGTCCACTATGGAGACTGAGAAAACGCCCCAAAGTCTCCTGGGCTTAGCCAAGACAGTCGGGCAGGTTTTGGCTCGAATGCACGACGAAGACCTCATTCACGGTGATCTCACCACCTCAAACATGCTGCTCAAACCCCCTGTGGAACAGCTGAACATCGTGCTCATAGACTTTGGGCTGAGTTTCGTTTCAGCGCTTCCGGAAGATAAGGGCGTTGACCTTTACGTGCTAGAGAAGGCCTTCCTCAGCACCCATCCCAACACCGAGGCTGTGTTTGAAGCCTTCTTGTAGAGCTACTCCACCTTCTCCAAAAAGTCCAAGCCGGTGCTGAAAAAGCTCGATGAAGTGCGTCTGAGAGGAAGAAAGAGGTCCATGGTCGGGTAGCCGAGTCTGTCTGCCAAGTACCGATGTTTAGGCCATTTATGTCAAAGGGAATTTGCAGGAAGGGCCCGAACATGAGATTAGACCTAAATAAAGGTGTTGAGATTCTTTTAAGGGCTGGCTGTGATCGTGCTTGTTAAGCGTCGTTATCACCTGCGGCTGGCTACCACTTCCTGCAACAGAAGACAAGTCATAGGCAGAACTGGGTATTTAACAGAACTCTAGAACAGGCCTCCTCTTCAGCTGTGCCGCGTGTACGTTGGGTACTTGGGCACAGCACCGCAGAACGTTGAACCACGCGATGAGAACATTACTCTTTGGTCTTTTTTTTTTTTTTTAATGTTTTATTTACTCCTGAGAGAGAGAGAGAGAGTGTGAGCAGGGGAGGGGCAGAGAGAGAGGGAGACACAGAATCTGAAACTGGCTTCAGGCTCTGAGCTGTCAGCACAGAGCCCGACGGGGGACCCAAACCCACAAACTGTGAGATCATGACCTGAGCCAGAGTTGGGCGCTTAACCAACTGAGCCACCCAGGCGCCCTGACTCTTCAGTCTTCTGGGTGAGGTGAGGACAGAGTCTCAGCTGGTGACAAATGTCTTTATCAGCCTGCTACTCCAGCCTTCTGTTGCTGTTGTGTACATATTCCACTTGAAACCAATGTAATGGGATGCAGCCAGCATTTTAAAAATGAACTAGAGGGGCGCCTGGGGGGCTCAGTCGGTTAAGTGTCAGACTTCGGCTCAGGTCATAATCTCACGGTCTGTGAGTTTGAGCCGCGTGTCAGGCTCCGGGCTGACAGCTCAGAGCCTTGGGCCTGCTTCAGATTCTGTGTCTCCCTCTCTCTCTGCCCCTCGTCTGCTTGTGCTCTGTCTCTCGGAAATAAACATGTAAAAAATAAAAACGAAGTAGAATCATAGGCTAGAAAATATCAGAGTGCCTTACATGTAAGTATTGTTTAATAAAACTTGTTTCAAATATATGTATAGACGAAGGTATCTACTGGATTTTGATGTAAGATATATTTCCTTTTGAGGGTCATGGCAGAAAAGATGACAAATACTGCGTAACTCCAGTTAGTCTAGTTTAAAAAAAATGCAGGCTCGGGGCACCTGGGGGACTCAGTCGGTTGAGTGTCAGACTTCTCAGGTCATGATCTCACAGTTCATGAATTTGAGCCCCGCGTCGGGCTCTGTGCTGACTGCTTGCAGCCTGGAGCCTGCTTCGGATTCTGTGTCTCCCTCTCTCCCTGCCCCTACTCTGCCTGTGCTCTTTCTCCATCTCTCAAAAATAAATAAATGTTAAAAAATTTTAAAAAAAAACAAAATAAGCTCATAGCTTTCAGGGAACTGGAATTCACGTAATTTTATGCACTGTTGTTTTTACTTTTGTTGCTCTGTATTTTCATGGGTACCCTTCTAACCAACAGGTGAATGATCTAAGGTTGCTTTTAGTTTATAGGGGCAAAAAAAGGTGAGTTGATCTATATCACAGATGGTAAGCACATAGAACAAAAGAAGTGAAATGACGTGGGAATGACTATAGTTTGATGAAGCCCGATTTAAGGGAAGGGCAGGAAAGCTGAGCTAAGGTGCAAAATGCCACTAATTCGCTTGCACCTAAAACCCTCCCCAGCCTCAGTTTCTTCCCCAGAGACGTGTGTCTGTGGGAAGGGAGGTATAATAAAGTACCTTTCCTCCTTGTCCGCACCAGCTCATATTTTGAGTGCCTTCTCCGTGCCGGCTTTCACACTGGGTACCGGGTACCTGGAGTGAGCATTGCCGTGGGTCCCGGACTGTGTGTTTCACTCACCACCGTCAGCCCTGTGCCTGTGGCGCGTTCCCAGGGAGGGATGATCACTTCCCTTCCTGGGTCCTGGTGACCTGTTGGAAGGAGAGTTAATACCGTTGCCTGCTCATCGCTCGTCAGAAACTGTCCCGGGGGTGTTCATATTGGATCTAAAACAACTCTCAGGTATTGTCCCCAGTTTGTAGATGGAGAAATGGGCCCCCAAAGGGGGGAACTTGTCCAAGATGTCACAGGTAGCAAGGGATACTGTTACCTGGGTCCAAGCCCTGGTCCTTCCGCTGATTGTATAAGAAACCAAGATGCTGGAAAGGATACATTTTTGATATATCTTGACATTGTGTAACATTATTTTCAAAGAATTTCAAGGGCCACGGGGCAATAATTTTTTCAAGGAATATGTTCAACATGACCGAGCTGTCTGCCTCCCAGTGAGAACGACTGGCGGGCTCGCTGTGGGCCGGGCCCTGGAGATGCTGAGGGGACAGAAGGCTGTCCTTCCTCTCCTGGGAAACAATGTCGTTGGAACTGGTATGTGAAGGAGAAACAGGGGGCCCCTAGGTGGCTCAGTCAGTTGAGCGTCTGACTTCCGCTCAGGTCATGATCTCACGGTTCACAAGTTGGAGCCCCGCGTTGGGCTCTGTGCTGACAGCTCTGAACATGGAGCCTGCTTCAGACTCTGTGTCTCCCACTCTCTGCCCTTACCCTGCTCACGTTCTGTCTCAATAAACATTAAAAAAAAAAAAAAGATCTGGGGCAGGGGGGGGGGTGGGTGTGGAGCATGTCCCAGGCCAAAACCCCATCAGGGGCAAAGTTGGTGAAGGAGGAGCATCTGTGGGCGGCAAGGCCAGGGTGGCCGGTTTGCAGCGAGCAGAGCAGAGGAGGAGCAGGGCATGAGATCAGAGAGGTGGGTAAGGACCAGCTCGGGCCGGGCCTTGTAACAATCCTGGGGTTTGTTCTCAATGCAACTCAGGGTTTTGAACAGGGAGACGTCTCATTTAGATTTTGAAAGGATCACATTGGTAGAAAATGGGGTAAAGGGGGCCTAGAGGGGAAAGGAAAAGGCTTCACAAGTGGCCAGGGCAGCAATAGCAGTAGCCTGGGGTGGAGTGTGCAGTGACCCACCCCTACCCCCACTCCACCCCCACTCCCCATTGGTGTGTGTGACACGGTGGCCGGAGCAGCGGGGGCAGCGGCAGCAGCAGCAGGGAAGCCACACCAACCTTTGCAGGCACTGAGGGAGAGGGAGACCCTGCAGCAACCACAAGTGTTCCCGGGAGAAGTGTCCATCTATGTGCTCAGCCCGTGTTCCTCGAAGAGCTGCGGATTCCGTCCCGAGTTCAGCGTCTCCCAAAGGACTAAACAACCCTCTGCAATCCCAGCTTCCTCCAAGTCGACGTGGGGACAGCTGGCCCTCTGCAGCCGGGAACTGATGGCACTAGCAGCTCTGTGTGAATAACCACTGGAACCCTCCCAGATGGGGCTTAAAAAACGTCATTCTACAGATGACGAAAGATGCTCCACGATGCCAAGTATCATGTCTTAGGGTCACACAATTGGCAGAGCTGGGATTCAAACCTACGTTTTTAGCAGCAGCTGTTCACTGTCGAGCAGTTACTAAGTTCTTTGTGTGCATTAACCTATTTTACAGAGGAGGCGATTGAAGCACTGAGAAATTGAGCCTCGCCCAAGGTCACACAGCTAGTAAGTGGCAGAGCTGGGGAAATGTGATGTGATACTGAGGTGCGTCCAACACTGAAAAGGACACATGCCCACATCTTCTAGAACATTAAAAAGAGCTCTTGTGGGGCGCCTGGGTGGCTCAGTGGGTTAAGCATCTGACTTCGGCTCGGGTCATGATCTCACGGTTCGTGTGTTCGAGCCCCGTGTCGGGCTCTGCACCGACAGCTCAGAGCCTGGAGCCTACTTTGGGTTGTGTGTGTCTCTCTCTCTGCCTCTCCTCTGTTCATACTCTCTCTCTCTCTCTCAAAAAGTAAATAAAAACATTTAAAAATTTTTTAAAAGAGCTCTCGTGACTGGCCCATGGGCCACAGAATGGAGTCACCTACGCTGGGCACAGTGAATACTTCTTATGTAGGCGAGCTGACCACGCTCACAGCGGGTGCCGGGCGAGGGGATCCGGGCACACCTGCACTCGTGAAGGGCTGTGCGTGTAATCTCAGGTGTGGCCCAGAAAGGAAACCCGGTTCTAAAAAAAATGTGTTGACAAAACCAGGCAGGCAGCTTGCGGGCCATCCTTTGCCAAGTTGAGTTTTTAAAATATTGCATTAAAATATTTGTCTTGATTACTGAGATTTTAGGTGTCCCCTTGAATCAGCGCCCTAGCGAGAGCCTCACTCACCCCATCCTGGTCCTCACCCCGCTGCCACTGTCCGCTAGCAGCCCTGGCTGTGGGAGCCCAGCGGACAGGGCCCTGGGAACTTGCTCCTTGTGTCCTGAATGCAGAGGACCCAATTCCCCTTCCCTGAGCCCAGACGAGTGGCCGTCTTTGCCAGTAGAGGTCGCAAGTTACCGTCATCATCTGTGCAGAGAAGCTTCCTTCCCCTTCCTTCTTCTTCCCTTCCTCTTCTTTCTCCCTTCCCTCCCTCCCCCTCATTTCTTTTCTTCTTCCCTCTTTTCTTCCTACCTCCCTACCTTGAACTTGGCTCATTTATCCACTCAACACCTAAGCGTCCCTATATGGCGAGCAGTGTGCAAATCACTCAGGCTATAGTGAGCGAAGACTGCGATGTCTGGGTTCCTCCTGCCTTAATTTGGTCATGCATTCTCTCCCTTCTTTGCTCGCTCATTCACTGGGTATTTACTGAGCACTAGGCCTCTGTCTGGCTCTGTGCTGGATCCCAAAGAAGCTACGGGGATGAGAAAGCCCAGCCGCCACCTGGAGCCCCTCGCCCTCTCCCCACGCTGCTGCGGTCAGTGGTTTCCCCACTGTGCTCCTCTGTTTCCGCCCTGCCCACCCCACCCCCGCCCCATGTTCTTCCCCACTCAGCAGCCAGAGGCACCCGTGTAAAGCCAGCTTCTGCCACTTCTGACCAGAACCTTGATGGCTTCCCGTCCCAGGCCTCCTTGCTTACTGGCTGCATGATGAGGGTCCCCTCACCGCAGCGCTCTGAGCCTCAGCGTCCTCATCTGTAAGATGGACTGACAGTGGTGCCTACCTCGTGGAGCTGGTGTGAGCGCTTTCAGGGGTCGGATGCCCAGGAAGCAGACTCTGAGATGCGGTGTGGCTCAGTGGATGTTTACCGAGGCGTACCCTCAGGGGCCGCCCTCCACGGAAGGGAAGGGGAGAAG